AATCTGTTATTATGCTATTTTGTGCGAGATCAATCGATTTAACGATGAGAAAAAGGATTACAGAGGTTATGAGTTCAAGTATTGCCCTCGAAGGATGTTGCAAAAATTGATATGGCCCTTGATAGGAAAGACTCCAGCCCAAGTTGTGTATGAGCAACTTTGCATTTTCAACACATGTAATCTTGTGGGAGACGACAGTGAAGTGTTCACAGTTTTGGTTTTGGGTCAAAGCAAGAGCAGTAATGTACAGTATGCGTACAGTATGTAACAAAACTCAAATTAATTCATGAAAATACAAATAAGATACAGGTTCACATGTACTTGTTAAGTGAATGTTTGATCATGTAGGAATATAACATGTATGTGTGTGTGTGTGTGTGTGTGTGTGTGTGTGCGTGCGTGCGTGCGTGTGTTTCACAATTCAAACTATTTAAATGAATTGTGGTGTTGAGTATTGGAGCAGATAACCTTATAATACCAAATATAAGGTTATACCAAATAACTACAAGCAGTCTTTAGGCTTTTTTGTGCAATGTACTCTCTGTTTATCCACACTTGTGTCCTCTTTTGCAAAAACGTTCTCAATACATTCATTTTAGAGAAGTCCAGTCCACTCTGTATCATCATGATTGCTTTGCAACAAGAACATTTACAAAAACAGAAAGACTGAACATGTTATTATCAGCGGGAACAGTAAAGTACAAAGATTTCACTTTTCTATTGAGTCCGAAGGGTCTATGGGCTGCTGTATTTCCTTCAATGCCCTTGTCAAACCAATACTTGAACTTCCAATTTTCAGTGAATCTGACTAATGAAAATGTGTTTTGTGAGAGAAACATTTAGTATATAAACATCAAATATTTGAGGATTTAAAAAGCAGTAGATTTTACGAATTGTGACCAATCTTCTTGGAGTTGTTGAAAAATGTACAGTCAAAAGTTTCTAACATTACTTATGGTGTTGTTAAGTGTTTCAAACCAGGAAGTAAACACAGGTTCCTGCAAGGCAACTTCACCTATCTTTCTAAGTATTTTGTTGTTATTCTTATCTGCTTTTGACTATTTCCAAATGTGCAAATTACCTCTGAATACCGGTGGAAGAAAGACAATTTAACTCTAAGGGGCAAACATTGTATTAAACTTTATAGATGATATGATTCTGCAAATTAAGTACCACAACTTTTTTCCCTTTAATTACATTTTCAGTGCTTGACAGAGGTTTGTAATACAAATTAAAGTTCAAATACAACTTAACTTAGGACATCTGGCATTATGGGGTGAAGTAATGATATCGATTTAAAGGCATTTTAGATATGATAGCTGTATCACTAAAACACTTCAAATAAAACATATTGAAAGAGTGCCAGTTTATGGATACAGGAAACATGTTACACATTTATGATTGGAAATCAAAATTATAGCAATACTTCAAAATCATCAGTGATTGAATTTCAAATCTTCAGGATGAAAGCAAAGAGAAAAAGAGCAGTTTATGGAAAGTTATTTTTCCCAAACTCAGCCCTGCAGTTCTACATAACACTGTCCTCAATATGTACGCTGCTCTTAAACATACTGCAGGAAATGTGAACAGCAGCGAAGGTTTAAAACAATGTGTGTCAGCAAGTCAACACCAGCTGGAGTCTGCGCTCTCTTAAAGGGAAAATCCTGTTTTAATACAACTCACATGTGCTCCCTCAGAGTAATGATGTGAACTTTGACAAGTCACTCTCGACACGTGGAAACAGCCCTTTGTGCTTCAAATTATTAAACAAATCCAATTATCAATTTCTTTTTTGCTAGTACAATATCATTTCTTATGATGTAAAAAGATAGTATTTTCACCTTTGCTTTATGTAACACTAGAAATGTGTCCGGGTGGTTTCTGCTCAGCGGGTTGAATAAAGTGTGTGAATTGTTTAAACAAGGATTTTCCTTCGAAGTAGCAGGGACAGTGTAAATAAGCACTTTACAACAGCAGCCAGGCACACAAGTTACTGATTACTGCAACTCTACAACAAGTGATCATCGACACTGATAGGTTGAAACAGTCAAGCTTCAAAACCTTTCCTTCGATTAGCAGAACCACATTAACAGTTGAAGCTTTTAGTGAAATATGTGATTAGTCCCCCCCCCTGTTAGGCCACGCTGTTGGTTAGTAGTTACTGTAAGATTCACTTTAAGCCGACTGAGTGGGAATTGGACATGAAATTAGCTTGTTGAAGTGGTTGTTGCCCGCCCACAATCAATCATCCTGGTATGAAATTTCACCAGCAAGCTTAAATATCTGAAAACGGGATCTATGAGAGGGGTCTCATTTCCTGCCTAAGTGGCTGTTAGATGCCAATCCAAAGCCAAATAGGGCCGAAAACACTCCAGATTGTGGCTCAATGTAATGTTGTTTAATCCTAGTCGCATCAGGTATACAAGGCATTACAACACACATGGATTTCAAGATATGAATCTGATTTGACAACATTCGGATTACAATTCACTCATGATGTTCTTTTAGTTTCCTGTAATGATGTTGTATTAGTTATGCTTTTAAAGCCGTTCCCATGGCTTCTTACAGCACAGAATAACAAAGAGGGACCACCGAGCCAAAACCAAGCAATCCTGCAGCTGCACAACAGGACTTTATCAGCTACACTAGCTTCACGTCTCATACAAACACAGACTTTGTATGGGACTTCAGAGGCACAGCTTATTTAATAAGGCAATATGTACACATGATCTGTATCTTCTCCTATGTTGTCATCTTATAAATAATGTCTAAAATAATACTGTACATTTTAATTAAATGGTGGTAATCAAGAAGAAATATAAAAGCACCTGTGAATGGGACTGACATACTATAATACTAAGTTTCTATCAGGGTGTAGGTCCATGTGTTTAAGGGTGATGGCATATCAGATTATAACATCACGTCTTTAAGATTTTTATACCAAATCTGAGACAAAGCAACATTTAACCTGACTACCTTGTTCTAGCACTACTTGTTAAATAAAACACACTAAAGGTGGTTGGTGGTGGAGTGTTAATGATCACAAGATGTGCGAAACACTAAGAGATCTCAAAGTTGATAAATACTTGTGGAGACACTGTGTCATACAGTTAAATATAAAGAAGAATCAATGGGTGATGTGAGTACACAGTTAAAAACTATTAAAGTTAGCCCTGTGGATTGGATTCAGTCTGCAGTTTTTCATATAAAAGTAAATTAAATAACCAGCTGCTTTAAGTGCTGGAATACCAATCAATGTATTGTTGGATAATAATACTCTTTATGCCGTTACGAAGCTGAGCAATGTTTCTTTTCTGAAAAACTGGCAAAACATAACATTTACATTCTCCTCTTAAAAAAAGGAAACCAAAAACAAGTAAATAACATATTTTTTTCTTCCAAAAATGAATTAGCCATTATACATACAATACAATTACATAGATACATATTTTCAATACCGCACATTCAATCTGCCAAAAAGGTAATGATTACAAAGCCAACAAAGATGCTGCGATATATATATATATAGAGATGTATGTACAATGATTATAGCGTTCATAATTGCACTATGCCTCAATAAATGTAAATTACAGGCTTACTTTCTAGGGAATTGTTACAAAAAATACTTTAAGTAGCTTGGGAATTAAATAATTGCAAATCAGAAAGAAGAAGGGCTTACTTTGGTACAAACTGATCATCAACACTGTGCCCTTTTACATATAAATAAGCTAAATGTATTCTTCACTGCTATTGACTTACAACAGTCAGGACAGCCGGGTTGTGATTGCGCAAGTGTAATAAAGCTAAAGCGTGACAGGATGGTGTATATGCTAGGAGAAGGGGTTTGCAGTGGGTTGTGATTGGACAGCTCGAGCAGGGGTGAGGGGGGGCTGTACCATTGACTGTGTTGAATATTAATTGGAGGAATCAGTCGATCGATCAATAAGGGACAAGTCTGCATTCATTAACACTTCCTATTCCCGTCCTCAACACTTTTCATTTCATCTAAGTAGTAAACATCACGAAGTGTAGTCTAGTTCTTGAATAGTTTTGGCATTGGCAATAAATACACAGATAACCGTCATAAAAAGCATTAATGTGGCACAGTTTAACATAATCATTTAACAACGTACTGTAGTCACGTCCTTGACTCCCATCTGTGTAGAACAGGCGTACCCCGTGATCTCCTTGCTCAAAGCTCAGAAGTTCTTTTTAAAGCCTGTGACTGTCAAGACTCGGACTATTTCCCCTTTTAATGTACTCATTGGATGGTACCAAAGTCAATGCAATGTATTAGAAACAATAACGATATGAGTCTATCAAGACCAAATCAATATAGCATTTTTTTTTCAATCACAGTTTATGCCAACTTATTGAGAGACTTGCCAATCAGTCCTATGCAGGAAAATAAAAGCTGTCAATTATAGATCTGTTGCATCATTTCCTATTTGGTTTAACAGGTAAACGGCCGGAATGAAGCTTCTGAATGAACCAATGGGAAAGGAGGCAGGGTTAAAAAAAAAAAGGAATGAAAACCTTTTTTCTTCTTCTTGGTTATAAAAAGGCAGGAGGCAGGGAGCGCATTGCATTTGCTCCAGCTCTGATGTATCAAACTGACAGATTTTTTTTTTTGCCAAACCTTGAGTGCACAAAGTAGTTTCTTTCTTTAGGCCAAAAATCGAAACAAAAATTCACAATGCGCAAAGCCTAGAAATGAGGATCCTATCTGTTAACATTCAACAGCATATCCCTTCAAACCCTTATACTTTAAATGTATTGCCCTCCTCCTGCTCCATATATTTAATCAACTCCTTAAATAGCAAAATAACATTTACTTTGCTAACCCTTGGGGACCAAGAGATCAACAAATGGCAAATCAATTATTATGCAACCATTAGATTTCTCAGATTTTCTTTTGTGTGTGTATATGAGCTATGTTTTCACAGATTGCCTCAGTCAGTGTGTGGGGGAGTCTCCCGCTGACAGCGCCCCCCCCCCCTCTACACCAGGTTGTACTCCTTCAGGTTGAGCTGCAGGATGGTGTCTTTGACGGCAGCAAAGACGAAGCGGATGTTCTCTGTGTCCGTGGCGCAGGTGAAGTGTGAGTAGATGATTTTATCGCCGTCTGGATTCAGGTCCACAAACATCTTGAGGATAAACTCCCGTCCTGCTTGGGCATCCCTCGCGGGACCTGCAGAGGTGAAGACATGCTCCATGAATGCATTTCACTACAGAAAGTAAGGTACAAATAGTTAGGATGCTAAGACATGTGTATATTCTCCATTCCTGTTCATGTGTCCTCTCTCAATTTTTACTGGCCCCGTGCATCTCCTAATCGTTGTAACCAGCCTGCTCTCGTCTATCCCACATGCTCCACTGACATCCTCGCTCGGATCTATCATTAGCCCGCATGGTTTTTCATACCATTGCTACGCTGACGACACCCAATACATTTAGTCTTTTCCCTGTTCTAAAACCCAGGTTGTCGCACGCATCTCTAGTTGTCTAGCAGACATCTCTCAGTGGATGTCTGCTCACCACCTCAAGCTCAACCTTGACAAGACTGAACTGCTTTTTTTTCCGGGAAAAGATTGTCCCACTCTTGACCTAACAATCAACATCGGCCCCTCTGTTGTTTCCCCGACTCAGACTGCAAGGAATCTGGGTGTGACCCTAGATAACAAACTTTCCTTCACTGCAAACATCGCTGCAACAACCCGCTGCTGCAGATTAGGGTTGCATATTGTTGACTTTTTTACGATACCAATACTGATACTCAACCGATACATATCGTGATACTTTCATGTTGCATAAGGGAAAAATTGAATCATCCTGCAATTACTCCCATGAAGCGATTTATGATAATAGCCGCGTTCACACCGGAATACTTTTCCCACTTTAGTTCCGATATAGTTCCGAAATGTCGCGTTCACACCAAAAAGAGCCGGAACTAAAATGAGTTCACCAGAACCTTTTTTACCCCCTTTTCCGTCCCTGCTAGAGAGCAGGTACTTTCGTGGGAGAAAAGGGTTCCTATGTCTGATTGGCTGGGCGGAATGCAAAACACGCCCCGTAAAACTCCGAAAAAAAATTGTGAAGCCGCATTAGCATTATTATCATTAGCATTAGCCCAGCGCACAAACGCAGAGAGACTAAGTTATGGCAACACAAAATAAAACATGGGAGTTGTGGAGATGAGGAGGTGTCGGCGTTCTGGCGATTTACTCTGAAGCCGCTGGGACTGAAGCCAGTCCCCAACTCCGGGGACTTCCGGCCGGGGACTTCGGGTGGCAGTATACGCCGTGAAGTTCTTTGCGGCCTACCAGTAAACCCAAAGCAGAAGAAGAGGAAGTGACGTCAGCGGCTTCATTTGCCTCATCCTTCCCCAGGAACTTATTCCGGTGTGAACGCGATCTGTACTTAGTTAATCAGAACTAAAGAGTTCTGATTAACTAAGTTCTCATGAACCTTTGTGGGAAAAGTACTGCGGTGTGAATGCGCCTATAGTTAACATGTCATATGAATATTAAATTCAATTGTGGGACTTGGAACTTTTAGTACCGAACAAACAATGAAAAACACGTTATCTATGAAGAAAACAGATTCTGCAATATCATTTATATCAACCATCAGGCATGAATAGTACATCTTGTCAATGGAAAAAGAAAATAGCACCAGTATAATCAATATTCAACCTGAGATTCGACTGACCAGAGAACACATAAAGGATCATGAGATCTCGGCATTGCACATAAAACAAATAGCATCATTAAAATCAACATTTGCCTGATGAAAGAAAACAAATCCCATCAAAGTTCAGTTTTGTGCATTCATCTTCAAGAAGATGAGCATTTCTGCTCTCTGAGTTTTAAATAGATTTTGAGAGTGGAGCTAGAGAGAGAAAAGCAGCGTTGTCTGCTTAGTTGCAATACTGTAGCTTATGCAATTTAGGCCTATAAATTGTTTATGTAACTTATGTGCCAGTGTGTCCATGGTTTTGAGTCTGTGTGTGTTGAGCGCAGCGCCGTCTTCTTTTTGCAATATAGTAACTAAAGTAGGACTAAGCATACCGGTAGTTTCTGTGGACCTGTCTGCCCGTTTTGTGAGTGCACTGCGCGCGTGCAAACTTGTGTGGCAATGTTTGGGATGACCTAATTAAAATAGCGGCCCCCAGTAAAAAAATCCCCACAACACCACTGGGCACGAGTTTAAGGATATTACGCCTCACTTTTAGTTATTTCGGTAATACCGGGAACCGGTATGCACCCCTACTGCAGATACACTCTTTACAACATCAGGTGGTTACGTCCCCTCCTGACCCAGAAAGCGACGCAGCTTCTGGTCCAGGTTCTCGTCATCTCACGCCTAGACTACTGCAACTCCCTCCTGGCTGGTCTACCTGCATGTGCCATCCGACCTCTGCAGCTCATCCAGAATGCAGCGGCTCGTCTGGTCTTCAACCTTCCTAAATTCTCCCACACCACGCCGCTCCTCCGCTCCCTTCCGGTAACTGCTAGAATCCACTTCAAGACACTGGTACTTGCGTACCATGCTGTGAATGGATCTGGCCCTTCCTACAT